TGCTTTGTACGTTAAGAAGAAACAGTAATACAAAGAAAATAAAGGCATAAAAGAGAATCAGCTGCTGACTTTTACATTTTTTTTGGGGGGGGGGGGGGCGGAACTCTGCTTTAATCAACAAAACCAGGGCACATGAATTACATATGTATGGAATAATACCCAAAAGCATGAAAACTTCACTTCAGGAAATTATTTTTAATATAAATTCTTGTGTCAGTGACCCCTGTCCTGGTTACTCAACTGCATAGTTTGTAAAAGTCTATTGCTCATGCATTATCTGCACCAATTAAGATAGCTTTCCATTGCTAAGAAACAAGGAACAGCACAGTTAAGAAGAAACAGTAATACAAAGAAAAATAAAGGCATAAAAAAAAGAGAATCAGTATAAAAAAAGAAGAAGAAAGACAGACTGTACATATGAATACAATAGGTACCTGGAATGACCAAATAAAGGGGATCATGGGTGGTCCTTTATGTATGTGAGGACTGAACATCTCTGGTGCATTGAAAGAGGTTCAGCACATTAGGTTTTTTTTATCCTCATTTGTACAGGGCCCAACACCTTGCATGAATACATTTTCACCCCTAATAGGTATTTAACACTAACACTTTTATAGTAAGTGTTATTTCTAAGAATTTATCACAGGTACATTTATTGCACCAAAAAAAAGTTACTTTGTCACGCCCAAAAATTATAATACTTACTTGCCTCAATCTTACTTGTAGACCTCAGACTTACTTAACCTCAACCTATCCCCGACTCTAAGAGTGCATTCATACTATGCATTTTCCTAATGCATGTTTTTTTGTTAACAGAACATTTTATAATACATTTAGGTGTGTTGCATCAAAGCAGCCCATTCATTTTGTATAGGCTGGCAGTGCACCTAACATACAAAAAAAAACTGACATTTGTTTAATGCATCACACAACAATGCACAGCATGTGAGTTGTGGTGCACAGCAGAATTGACGCATTGTCAGCGTCTGAAGTTGAGCATTGGGGTGCTATTCTACATGAAGGGCATTGCAATGCTCCTCACTGTGGGCATGTGAGTTGTGGTGCACAGCAGAATTGACGCATTGTCAGCGTCTGAAGTTGAGCATTGGGGTGCTATTCTAAATGCATCATGGCAACAGGGGACAAACTATAGGTCTGAAAGGATCCTTACTCTCAATATCAACAAAAAATCTTACCATTGGTAATTTTATTATTCTATCAGTACAATAGAAAAAACAATACTTTTGCACAAGTGTTGAAATGCACCAAAACAAAAATATACATAATGCAGTATCTAATGCAAATTGGTAAACCTGGCATACAGTGGGATTGATTTCCTAAAGCAGCAGAGAACATGCAAAATTAATTTTCACATGGCTTAGTGAGTGAGATGAAACAAACTTAAAATTTATGTCCAGAGAAATCACATGCAAAGAAAATGTTAAAAAAAAAAAAAGATTTTTGCTGAGACATGACTGGATGATTGAAGCCAACACATCATATCACTTTATTCACTAAGCTACATGATTTCTCTCTTTACAAAGGGAATTTTTCACTATAGTTAGTGAGTGAAGTGATGACTTTAATCTTCCAAACATGTGCAAGCAAAAATCCAGTTTTTAACCAGTTCTCATCTGGCCAATAACAAAATGACAGCCGAGTGAGACTTTCGTTGATCCGGGTGGGCATCATATGATGTCCTCCCGGACCACCGCCATGCACGCGCCTGTGTGGTTGATCACTTTCCCAGAGTAGTACAATGTTGCTATGGTCACTTTATATTACTCTGGTCACAGTGTTTTAAAAAAAAAAAAATGTAAAAAAAATAAAAAAAGAAACATTTTTTTAAAAATGAAAAAAAAATACATATTTTTTTTACATAGTCACCAGTCAGTGTCCCTGATCACCCCTCCACACCAGTTATATGATGACACTGAACTGCACTGGTTACAGTATGTAAAAAAGGTGAATTTGTATTTTAAATTTCTTCATTTTCCAAAAAAATTGTGACAAAAAATTACAACTTCAAAAAACTTGCCATGCCTCTTACTAAATACCGCAGACTGTCTACTTTAGAAAACGGAGGAATTTGATGGATATCTCTACTGTTCTGGCATTTTTGAGCCTTAAGAGATGAGATAGGCAGTCATAGTTATGGACTCTATAACTTTTCTACAGACTAAATAATATACACCAACTTGGGTTATTACCATATAATCACCAAAGAAATGTAGCAGTATACATTTTGGCCTAAATTTATGAAGAACAATTATTTATTTGTAAAATTTTATAACACACACAAAGAAAAACTTTTCAAAACTTTTTCAAAATGTTTGGTATTTTTTTATTTATTTAACAACAAATAAAAATCCAGTAGTTACTAAATACCACCAAAAAAAGCTTTAGGTGTTTGAACAAAATGATACAAATTTAGTTTGGATACAGAGTTGCATGACCATGCAATTGTCATTTAAACTGAGAGAGTGCTGAAAGCGGAAAATTGGCCTGGGCAGGAAGGGGGTAAAAGTGCCTGGGACTGAAGTGGTTAAAAAAATGTCCTTGCACATGATTGAGCAATCTTTGCAGTGAATTTTTACTTTCATTTAATTTACTAAAATAAGTAAAAAAATCAATAACCATGCTTTAGTCCTTTAGTTTAGTAAGGTCAAGATATAAATTATCAGCATTAAAAGAGAAGTATGGATTTTTTAAAACTATACTTACCAAGGTGGATGCAGCATCGATCCAATGCTGCATCTCTTCCCCGCTGGTTTCAACTGTGAGAACTGAGTGATCAGACAACACTGATCATTCAGTTCTCCCTGCTGCTCTGAGCAGAAAGCCAGGACTGTCATCTCTAGCTCTCTGCTCTGCCCCCCACCCCCCAGTGCTCACTGGAGTGAATAAAAAAATTGCATGTTAATGTGTAAACAACAAACAAATGCCTTTAAGGTGTGTTGTTGGTTCACTCCCGAAAAGGAATGACCCCCTCTCTCACCCCTTGGGGTGCAAGACTCCTGATGGGGTCTTAGGTTCACCTTGAAAAAAGGCCCAGCAGACCCCACTCCTAATGATCTGCCAAAAGCAACCAATGAGTACTTTCCTGAAAAGAGAAGGAGACAGGGAGGCAGGGAAGGGAACCCACATTTCCCCCTAGACTTTAGGGTAGGCTCATAGACCCACACCCTACCATCTGTCAGCAAATGTAAAAAGGCACATATGTAAAGTGCAGTAACAAAACATGAGAGGTGAATAAATAAAAAATAAAAAAATGTCAATGTGTGCACAATGGCTAGGCCTTGCAGCCTGGTAATAAAAATTGCCATGGTCTTAGCCAAAAGGCCTAGCCCATGAGGTGATGTGCATAAAAATCAAGAGGCGTTGTGGCCATGCTCTCATTTCTCACAGCGGGGTCCCAAGCCCATAGTGACACTAAAATCACCTGTGGGTTAGCACTACAATGGAGCACTTTACATCAAAGGCACTCTGCCTTCCCAACCCCTGTTCAGACAAGGTAGCACTGTTCAAATCAGGAGACACTGGGCCCCTTAGAGTCCCCTACACTAAGGAACTACTACTGACCCCTACATTACATGGCAGATGCTTGAATCAGATTTTTGTTCCCATGAAGGAGATCCCTCAGCACCCCCATCATCCCAGCAGAGATACTATACAGCCAGCCATCCCAGCCTAAAGGCCAGAATGACGGTGGAGCATCACTTCTGGACATTGAGAAAACAGATACTTCACTTGATATTAGCCAAAAGGTCAAGCAATGCAACATTACCCTTACTGAAAGATACAAAAAATTACCCTCTTTTATCATTTGTAAGAGATATACATTTGAACATCTATGTTAATATATCCTTTCTGCTCATAGAGATCATTTATTCCCTTCCAATGATTCCTAAATGCTTGTTTTGTTTCAAGTGACAATATTCAGCAGAAAGAGAAGTGACAATGTCATACATGGAAATGATATGCCAATGAAATCCTTGAAGATGAATTCCTTTCAGCATAATCTTCTTTTCTTTTATTTGCTGCTCTAGTTCCATTGATAGATCCAAGCAGTTAGATGTTACAATTCCAGGATTAAAAGTTCACTGACATGCTCCTTTAATATATAATACTAAATATTGATGATAATCTCACCCTACGGATTACAAAATCTTACATCCTTTCTCTGTGTGCCATATGTTTGAATTGTAACATAACATTTTTTCACTTTTAAATGGTAAGTAAACCAATATGATACAATAATTATTTAAAGAGCCACTCGGTACAATTCACAATTGTATTTGTTTCAGTATTAGGACTAGATTTGTTTGATATCTAGGAGAATGCACTTTCTTGTACACTTGATTTTCTTTTTAAAAGGGTCAGTTTAAAACCGATGTTTCAGGTATTAGAAGATGCTGAAGAATTAAACCATCTGACAATTTTTTATATCTCTCTGGGATACTGTGGTTTAGATCTCTGCATTGCAGTTCCTCTGCCTGTACACCTGTTCTGGCCATTATGAAAGACTACCACTCTCCTTGGCTTTATTTATTCATTCTATATTATGGAAAATGCAACATGTGGAGCTGAAAGATACAAAGATGGACAGGAACACTCAAAACCTTTTGTCTCACAACTAGAGTTTGCAATAGGGATGACATTTGGGTTTAGATCAAACCTTTTTTCAAAAGGAACCCAGGTTGTTTGACTTTGATGTTTGTGAAGCTGGCAAAGTCATTGGTCAAAACTGTCCAATTTTGTCTATCCGAATCCCCAGCTGCTGTAATGTAAACAAACAGCCAGTGATCATAAGTAATGTCATCCCATTTCTCAAGTAATCCCTAAATTCTGTATCATTCTTCCAGTACTCTCTAAATACAGTACAACACAATATAATTTTTCAGGGGCAAATACAAATGTAAATTTCCCTCATTTATGGCCTATCTCTAATAAATAACCTGACCCTATTACTTAAAGTGTTACTAAACCCAGGACCCTACATTCACTCTATCTGGTGTCCCACAGTACACACAACATGGAAATGCAATTATTTTAGTAAATATAAACTGATAAATACCTTTTCTCATCAGCAGTTAGAGCAGTCTTGTGACTTCAGCAGAACACTGGTTAAAGCTTGTAGGAGGAGTTTTCTTTCTGCTCTAAAAGGATGTGAAACCTCTGACCCTCTGTCTGGACAGTGCTGATTGGCCCTGTGCTGATCACATGCACCCTCCGAAGAAAAAAAACAAACCTCTCTAGCAATACACACCAAACTGAGCATGTCCATGTGACCACAGGTTAAGTCTGTATCAAGTGGTCATTTCAACAAGAGGAGGGGCAGAGAAGAGAGGATCAAACAGTCTTTTTACACAATGCAGATGATTAACCCCTTAGGTTCCACAATGAGTATAACAAGCATGCTTTACTGCATATACAGACTGATTTTACTGCTGTAGGTTTAGTAACACTTTAACCCTATTCCTCTCAATAACCATGATGTCCAACTGTAGCCAAAACAGTTTTTCATTTTGGACAAAGTGGCGAAGTAACAGAAACCCTGTCAGTGGTTTATTGTGGTCTGTGACCTGATTGTAAAGACACTGAATATAGTAAAACTTTTTTTATTAAAATGTGGAAGAGTGAGAATCTCTGTCCATTCAATATTACTAACCTCTGCCTTAATTTTTTTGTTCTTCCTAGGGCTGCATTTAGACTAGAGTATTTTGTGAACATTTCCGAAATCTGCAAAAAACATGTGTCATGCTTGTGGTGGCATTCATTGATTAAAGTGGTTGTAAACCTATGACATGAAATATGAACAAAGCATATCCCTCTCTAGTATGTACTTGTCTCTATCCAGAGTACTAAGTGTGATTTCTGTATGCTGCCTCCTTCCTCTGCTATCTGTATTATCAGGAGTCACTTCTGACAACTTTTCCTGACACCAAGAAGTAAAAAAGGTGACAGGGGATTGACCTCCAGAACACAGCTTGTGATTGACAGACTGAGCTTGGTTCCTGTGTGCTATGTGAAGGGAGGTGTGTCTATTCCCTCCAATCAGCTCTCAGCTCTCCTCCCTGAGCTCTGCAGTGTGTAATTTTTTTCTGTTTTCTAAAAGCTCAGACAAGCTGTATGAATTCTGGACTTTAACAGTGTGATTTTGTGGGCATTCATAAATGCTATAATGTGAATGCAGCCTTAGTCAATCCAAAACTAAAAAAGAAAAATGGCTGGGCTGTAGTTAGGCTGTAACCGTCAATTTGACACTTAATCAACCAGAACCCTTACACCTAAATCCTGAGCAAAACCCTTTTGATTTAACCTACTGCATAACCTCTATCTTAAGCTTTAAAATGTAGGCCCTGACGTCAAATACTTACTTAGCCCCACACGCTTAACTCTAGTCTTATCTTCAGTTACACATACATGTTCCTCTTATGTACTAAAAGAATATAGCAATAACAGCCCCCACTTTAACTGCTGCTGTCAGTTTATCAATCACTGCGAGTACACTTAACCCTCCTAAAGGTGATTATATGAATTGTTCTTTCTTAAGCATTGAGTGTTTACGTGAAAACATCACAATACAAAATATTAACTGTTTAATTTTTTTTTTCAATGTTAATTGCAATATGTTTGATTCTATTTGCAAAGCAGGCACCACCACAGCTTTTCTCATCACTAAATATTATGAGTTTCTAAGATAGTGTTTTTATGAAAATATGTTTTTGAATATTCATCCACGCTTCTGAAAAGTTTAGGAAATTCCCTAGTCATAACATTCGTTCAGCAATGTGTGTGTGTGTTTTCTCTTACTCAATTATTTACCTACACATTTGAAATCGATCTTTCTTTTTTGCATGAATTTGTGAACTACCAGGTGGACTCTATTATCCTTAGGCAATATTTTTACAACTCAATTTAGAACTGTCTTGGGTCTTTCACTGAAATTTGTTTCAGCCTTTTCACATGATATTCAAGAGTAGAAAGGCTGGCCAAGTATATTAGTTCTCTTCATTTAAAAACTGTTGGCACAACAACAGCTGTAGGTAATTTGATATGAGCTTAGGAATTACTGCCAGAATTATAATTTAAAACCTAATTTATCTCAATATGGAAATAGGTTGAAGTAAGTTTTCATGTATTGAGCATTTATTTGCATTAACCCCACCATCACCCTGCCATTCATGTCCATATGCTTTATTTACAGTGATCCTGTCACAAAAAAAAGTAAAAAAAAAAGAATTTAAAAAAAAAAAATATATATATATATATATATATATATATATATATAAAAACAGATTGCATGTAAAAGAAAGCTGTAAATTTCACCTGTGAAATCCCCCCCCCCCCCAAAGTCTGCTGGGAAACCTGAATCATATTTTCTCACATCAAAAATGGCAGCATATAGAAATTTAACTATAGCAGCAAAAAATGGCCTCTCTGGTGGTAGACAATAGTTTCCCTTTAAGATATATTAATGCTATGAAGTCCTTTCCCGAGGTCAACTGGGAAACCAACCCTTCCAGGAGTATAAATATACTGGATCTCCTTAAGTTCTCACTGCTTCTGTCCATGGACACCATGTCCTGTGAAGTCAGAGAGAGAAACAGAGGGCTACGATTGACCCAGTAGATTGATTGAGATCCCCAGAAGTATTGATTTCTAAGTGGATATCAGGATCTGACTTCAAAGCAAAAATCTTTCTTAAATGGAAACTACTGTCTGCCTTCAGACAGAGGACATGTTGTGCTGGTAATGTAAGATTTAACTCAAAATAATGTCTACATGCTGATCATATTTAGCATTTCTGATGCAAGAAAATATGATCCAAGTATAGGAAAAACATGTCTGAACTCATAAAAGTACATTCATACAACTAAACCCACGGTTAATATGTAATATGATATTTTTTTCAGCCAGCTTTTTAATCAAGAATCCATTGCCAGACATTATACAAAGACCTGGCCATGGCCATTGGTTAGACTGCATTGTGGAATAAAGAAAAGCTTTATTGGCTTGCAGTGCTACCCCAGTCCAAATGTTGCTGTACAGGGGATTATACTGTAGGTGACCTTGGGAAAGACAGACTGATTGATTTTGATTGATTGATTTTGATTAATTGATTGAAAAATTAAATTTAAAAAGGAGAAGTGCAGCCAAAGCACTTTTGGCTGTACTTCTCCTGTGGATCACAGCAGATCAGAACGAACTGCACTCCTGTGACCTGTTTTCAGTTGCTGTTGGCTGACATCAATCACCTGGTCCAGGCTGGGGAAAGATCCAGACTTTAAAGTTGGGATCCACCCCAGAGTCTGGAGTGGCACCTGGCTCAGCCTCTTAATGATCTGCTGAGAGCCTGAGCCAACCGTCCCCCCCCCTCCACAGCCCAGCACTTCAGTGAGCACAGGGGGGTGGGGAGATCAGACAGTGGTGAATGACCAGAGTGGCTGTGAGAACTCAGTGATCAACGGTCATGTGACCGCTGAGTTCTCACCCTTAGAGCATGTGGGGGACAGATGCAGCATCGGACCAATGCTGCATCAACTAGGTAAGTATAAATGGGGGGAGAAAAAGCCATACTTCTCTTATAAACATTTTTAATTAATACAAAACAATTAAATGGTTTATATCTATCTGCAGCATATGTATACTTTAAATTCAATGGCTTATTTTTGCCTCCTGGTAACACAAATGTAGCAACTATCTATTTTTTCATAGAAGGAAGATAGATACAATATTTATTTATAAATCCCTTTTCCATTGATTGACCTCATGATGTGATCTCATGACAAAGGACTGACACTGATTGGCACCTGATATAATGATTGACACTTAAAGCAGAACTAAACCCTATTGAGTTACCAGTTTCAAAAAACAGTTACATTCCTGGCATTTTCTTTTGTTCTCAACCAAACTGTGAAACATCAAATGGTTGGTGTTATAACAGTTGCTGATCAAACAAAGGCTAGGATGGCAGCTTTCTTGGCTGAAAAGGATAAGAAGGTTTAGTTTCACTTTAATATAAGATCATAGTTTTTCATTGATCATATGACTACATTCTTTAGGTACAAGGTTAGAAGCACACCTATAAAATGCAATGTAAATGTGGAACCATGCTTTAAAAAAATGTACAAAAAAGAAGAAGGCTATTGGACTGCACTGCAGCTCAATATATTCAGGCTCATATTTTTAGTAGGTCCGTTATTATTATTATTACACAGGATTTACATATATAGCACAGACAGTTTGTGCAGCACTTTACAATATAATGGGAGGCAGTACAATTACAATACAGTTCAATACAGAAGGAATAGGAGAGCCCTGCTCATGGAGCTACAATCTAAACTGGCATTGTGCAGTATGCCTTAACACAAACCCTGTCTATCATGAGAACTGCATTAGCCTAATGGTAATTGCCCATCAGTCTGATCTTTGCAAAACATGCCGCCACTTTACTCTGGAAGCTCAGGAAGAGCCCTTATGGCCCCTTCAATAAGCAGCCGCATGATTAATGAAATTACAGTAGCTGCTACCTTCTCTTTAAAAGTGGTATGTTCAAGCTGATAGTGTACACAGAATTCTCTGAACGTACTTCATCCTTCCTCCTACAAATCTCTATCTACTGTTTTGTTCATCTGTAGTATTACCCTCACTGGATTAAAGAGGAATTGAAAGTTGCACCATGATTGTGAGCTGGCCTCACGTGTGGCTATAGTACAGAAGGAAAAGGTGAGTTTTCCTTAAATATGATTTCTACTTGAAAAAAAAATGTGTTAGATATGTATTCCTTTTCACACAGCACGTCTACATTTTTTTTAACTACATCATATTTCTTAGCTTTTAGTTGATTCTGAGGAGGAGATGTCATGGCTCACTCATTAACATACAACACAAGAAGCCCAGCCTCTACTCCTTTAACCCTTTGTGAAGCAGTTATACTAGGTAAGGGAAGACCCCCATACACCTGCCAACATCCCTATTTAAGGAATATACAAAAATAGATTCCCCTCGTATAGATGGGACTTTCAAGGCAGAAACACCATTTATTAAAACTACAATACTCTTATAATAAAAAGTTGTCCATTACAATATATTAGTACAAA